CCCGCCCCGCTCCCGAGGCCCGGCCGAGCCAACGAAGGGGAAGAGAGAGAAAGACCGGAGGACTCCCGACTCACCAGCACCCCTGAGGCCGCCATCTTGGATCCACGTGTCGGCGGTGACGTCGGCGGAAGTGGCCCGCGGTTGGCCGAGGCGGCTTGTCACCATGGAGACGGAGGGGCGCGAGGCCGACCTAGGGAAGAGGGGCCTCCTTCTGCTCTCTTCCACCACCACCACCACCACCCCCGCCAAGGAACGACCGGAAGGAGAGCGCTCCTGCTTCCGTCGAAGGGCCGCCCGGCCGCGCAGGGGGGCCTGGCGGGAGAGGAGCGGGCGTCCTTCATCTTAACTCCTGGCAGAGTAGGGCCGGCCCCCGGCGTCCGCCATCTTGACTGAGGTCCAGCCGGCAAGGGTTGGGGGGGCGTCAGCTTCACCCGAGGAAACGTCGCTGGGCTCGTCCTGGGCGCCATCTTTACTGATGGCATGCCTGGTTCTGCCCGGCAGCTTTGTCGAGGGCGCTTGCCTGACGGTGATAGTGAAGCTCGCGGCGCCATCTTTGGAAGGGGCAGGCTCTAGAGGCATGGGCTTAAAACGAATCGCTTCTTCGCCCAGCCTGAAGGCTGTTCTTAGGTGCCCTCAAGTGACGGGGCGGGTTAAGGCGACCCCACCGCTCTTTGAAAATCCCACATGTTTTAAAAAACCCTGCGAGGGTCACCATCAGTCTCAAAAGTAAAGCTGGGGAAGGCAACAACACTGGCCCATGGGTTTGTAATCTTGGGAATAGGCTACTGCAATGTCCTCTGCGTGGGGCTACCCTTGGAGGCAGTTCAAAAGCTGCACCAGCTGCTGGCAGGCTGGCCTCTGGAGCATCGCCATAGGAACACCTGGAAGGAAACAGGCAGCCCGTGCAGACGGGCCTGTTCAAGGCGCTCATGCGGACATTTGAAGCCCTTACCTACTGGTTTAGGGCCTCCATACCTGGCTGGCTGAGCATATCTTCCCTCAAAACGTCTCCCTGTCCCACCTGTGCTTCTTATTACTGGGATGCACAGGTGGCCCCAGGTTAATTTTGTTTTTTGATCCCTTGTATTTTGAATCCATGAGCTTCTCTCTACTGCCTGCCTGTTCGTCTTGTACTTTTACCAGCTTCCCTTCAAAGTCCTCATATTTTTTAGGAATCGTGCCTTGTGTGATGCCTTCTCTGAATGTTACTGTTGTTGTGTTCTTTTGATCTTGATTGGTTGGCCACCCAGAGCAGCGGCTTTGCCACCAGTTGGGTGGGGTAAAATTGTAAATAAATAAAAATTGTGGCACTCGAAAGAGTAACAGGCTTCTTTGTTATGACTTTTTGTGGATCAAAATTAAGTGGTTCAGACGCAAGGTATGCTCCCTTGCACCTCTTGTGTCTGAAGAAGTTGACACCGAAAAAGAAGCCATTTTTAAAGGACTGCAATATTTAGTGAATCTCCTGGGGGAAATTATTCCTGTTAATGTGAAAGTCCCAGCCACTTGGTGGGAAACAAGAGAGAATGAAATCTAATTAACCTCATTAATAGTGTATAGCAAAGGAAATTGCTGCAGCGCCTTAAAGACTAACCCATTTATATCAATGTGAGCTTTCACAGATCATCCATTTTCTCAGACCTCCTGTGGTTAATCTGATGGTGTAGAGGGTGGGGAAAATCCAATTTCAGACTCATTTTTATGAAGCTGGCTTGCTTTCTTAAAGAAATGGGAGTGCCTGACCACGTTTTTATGAAGTTGGCTTGCTTTCATTAGACAAAGTTAAGATTACATACATGTTCAACTGTAGTTGAACAAGCTTGAGGGCTTAAAACCATCGGTTGTCAAATAAGTTAAACTGTAGTTAATCTAAGCCAAAAGTGAAACCTCCCAACCTAACAGTCATACCAGAGGAAGGAGCAGAATGGAGAAGGCTCAAGTGCCACTAGGTTGTTCTGAACAAGCTAAACCATGGTTTAGTGTTACGAGTGCACCTTCCTTTTGAACATCATATTGCAAGGAGAAAACGCCTGCTATCCTATACAGTGGTGCCTCGCTTAATGATTGCCCCGCATTATGACAAAATCGCTGTACGACGATCTCTTTGCGATTGCATTTGCGATCGCAAAACGATGGTCTAAATAGGGCTTTTTCGCTTTGCGATGATTGGTTCCCTGCTTTGGGAACCGTTTGCAAAACAATGTTTTTTTAAACAGGTGATCGGCAGTTTCAAAATGGCCACCGGGTGCTTAAAATGGCTCCCCACTTAGTGCCTGCTATACAGGCAGTGAAAATGGCCGCCGTATGGAGGATCTTCACTGGACGGTGAGTTTTTACCCCACTGGAATGCATTGAACGGGTTTCGATGCGTTTCAATGGGGTTTTAAATTTCGTTTTACGATGTTTTCGCTTAACGGCGATTTTCCTGGAACGGATTATCGTCGTTCAGCGAGGCACCACTGTACTTTTAAACTGGCCTTGCGAAGCACAGGCCAGTTATTTCCAAAATCACCACTACTAACAGTCAGGAAATACTTGCAGACAGATTTGAATTCTTAAAACTTTTATCAATATGAAAGACACAGAATGGTTTGCATTTCAAAATGTACAAAGTAAGCACCCTGAAACAAATCATTTTCAATTTCTCATCCTTCATCTCCACCTCACAGAGCTGTTAAGTGCACGTACAGAGTAGAAAAGAGAAGTGACATATAGTTAACCGGTGGAAAACATTTCCTCAGGTTTCACCAACGTTAAAAATGTAAACATCCCAAGCCTTAGAGGTGCGACATTTCACCAGTTTTCAGACCCACAGACTACACACCAAATGTCACAGAGGCATAAACCCAATGGCCAGTAGTTAAAATGTACAAGTTCATCTCTCGTCCTCTGTAATCTAAACTTTGGAGCCAGATATAAACCTAGATTATAATTACTTTAAAGTTAACAAAATGGCAAACTTCAAGTGCCTTTCTTGAAACTGTCCTTAGCTAATTTGATTTTTAAAAATATTAAAAGCCTGGAGGTGGTACATCCCCCATCATGGCTTGTCCCCTGCGATGGACTTTTCCTCCAGGAATCGGTCCGATGGTAGTCTGTCAACAGCAGGAGGACCACGGTCACTCTGATAGACTATAAAAACATCAGCATCCAACCAAGTAGTTCTTAGCAGAAGTGGTTTATCGGATATCCATCTGCATGCTGTTACTTTGCTTCTTTATTGTGCTTTTATGATCTTAGGTTTTACTCTTTAGTATTTTGGGGTATATGTCATTTTATAGTACCTGTGCTGGAAATTTGGGATGAAATGAACAGCTGCAAGAAGCCCAAATAAATACATAAAAATGCGATGAAGATGAATTGGTTCAAACTCTTCTGAAATGAGTGTAAAATCAGTTTAGTAAGTAGCGGTAGAATAGCTTTCTTGTTTCCATGTTATCATGGCCACAGCAAGCTGCCTTCTATTAAGTGAGACTATTTCTCTGTCCAGTTTCTTTGCTCTACTGTCAACTCAGACGAGGAAAGGGCTCTCGGCTGTACTTTCTAACACATGGATGTACTAACCGGCCATGATTTTAGGCACAGGCAGAAGGGCCATGGACTACCTTTGAAGGCTTCCATTTTGCCTTGTGTCTTGTGTTTTGTTTAAGGAAAATCACCAAAATTTTGTCCTCAAGACAAGGCAAGGAGAAATGTTCTTTGATTGCTTAAAATAACAGCAACCAATGGGTAACCTCACAATCCCAGTGATGCAGAACCAAAGCTTACAGAGAAATAAATTAAAAAAGGAGAAATGCCAGTGTACAAAATAGCACAAACGTTGGAGAGAGGGATGAATGGGGCTCCTAAGTACTGGTCTGTGTGGTTCATGCTGGTGGTTTTCCATGGAGCTCTCCCAGTAAGAGTGGGGGTCCCATTCAGAGCAAGCACAGCCTTCCCCTCTATGTTAAATGCTGCAGTTTCGATGCCCAGGCAATGCAGTATCCCTGCCACAGATATTTCACAATGCCAAATTTATCTCGAACTTGTGCACGGATGCTGCAAACATGTGGATGCGATGCATTATTTTAAACATTCTGCAATTTTGCTGCCCTGGTTAAAATAAGAAAACCAAACCATTGCAGCACTGGATCCAGAAACAAATCTTTGTGGTTCTTAATGATTTCTGACTCTGCTAGCAAACTCCCCCCAGCCCATAGAAACCTAATATTTCTGGATTTAAGGAAACTGCTTCTAAAATGTGTAAAACTCCAGCTAGAGTGGGGGAAAAGATGTTGTTTGTAGCTTCTGACATGCTTTATGCAAGTAACTTTCTAATTCCCTTTTTAAAGCTATTATAGGTATAGGAGAAAGACAGTCACCACAGGGAAGAATTTAATGTCCTGGATTCATAAACTAACGTGGGGTTGTCATGAATAGAAGATTTGCTCTCACAGTTTGGCTTACCAAGGAAACGAAGATTTAAGTGTGCCGGCTTCATCCCACTCAAAGAAAGAACCGTTTCTTCTGTGAAAGAACATATGGCCATCCTAATTATAATGCTACTAATGAGAGGTCATTTCTGTGATGTGACTCGTCAACGGATCAAATAACAACCTTCACCTGCTCACTCACGCACAGACTTATAGAAGAACAACTGATGGCTTTCCAATAGCTGGCATAACTTCGAGGGGGGAAGCGCATCATATAATTTCCTTTGAAATAACTGAAGTCTGATTAAAATATTTTATTGGTTGTTCTGGGTTTTTCGGGTTCTTCGGCTGTGTTCTGAAGGTTGTTCTTCCTAATGTTTCGCCAGTCTCTGTGGCCGGCATCTTCAGAGGACAGCACTCTGTGCTCTGGTGTAGTTGGCTTGGGAGTGCAGTATTTATGGCTGTGAGATGGGCGTTTGTCTTTTTCTGTAGATGGGTGTTTAGTGTGTATTGTGGGTGCATTGTTGTGCTAAGGAGAAGAGATTATCTGTCACTGTGGTTGATGGGTGTCATTAGCTGGTCTTTAGCTAAGAATACAAGGATTGTTTAGGTTGGATTTGATCCAGGGTCAAGCATCCTCCAGCTCTGTCTTCAGCAAAATGACCTGAAAGGTCCTCTTTGGAACCTCATGAGAGAGAAAGAGCAGCTTTCCTCTAATCTGCTGGTGGGGACAGCCTGCGTGTCATCTGCCCCATAAAACCTCTTCTTCTGCAAGGATGTCCCCATTCCAGGGTCTCTCCACCTTTTTCCTTTAAGGCTGCTTTTGGTATTGACTTTCTGTTGCAGTGAAGAAATCTTCCAGGATGCTTTGATTGTACTCAAAAGTAGGGCGGTCCTCGGGCTTGTTCTTCCAGCACCGCATCATGATATCATAGAGCTCCTCGGGGCAACCCTCCGTGCGTGGCATCCGATAGCCACGTTCAAGGGCACGCATCACTTCCTGGTTTGACATCCCTGGGTTTTAAAAAAATGAGGAAAAAAGTATGATAAGCCTATAGAAGTGGGATTTTATTCATGTTTATTAGGTGACACAGTTAGGACAAAGTTCCAAATAGAGTAGTCCTAGAACGAGCTAGAATTGTTAGCATGTATACATTACTGAGGAGGGGATGTGGTGGCGCTGCTGGTTAAACCGCAGAAGCCTCTGGGCTGCAAGGTCAGAAGACCAGCCGTTGTAAGATTGAATCCACACAACTGAGTGAGCTTCCGTCGCTTGTCCCGGCTCCTGCCAACCTAGCCATTCGAAAGCATGTAAAGATGCAAGTGGATAAATAAGTACAACCACGGTGGGAAGGTCATGGCATTCCATGTCTAGTCGCGCTTGCCACGTGACCACGGAAACTGTCTTCAGACAAACGCTGGCTCTATGGCTAAGAAACGGGGACGAGCCCCCTAGGGTTGGCCACGACTGGACTAAATGTCAAGGGGAAGCTTTACCTTTACCTATACATTACTGAAATCAACCCTGAGTGCTCACTGGAAGGACAGATCCTGAAGCTGAGGCTCCAATACTTTGGCCCCCTCATGAGAAGAGAAGACTCCCTGGAAAAGGCCCTGATATTGGAAAAATGTGAAGGCAAGAGGAGAAGGGGACGACAGAGGACAAGATGGTTGGACAGTGTCATTGAAGTGACCAGCATGAATTTGACGCAACTCTGGGAGGCAGTGGAAGACAGGAGGGCCTAGCATGCTCTGGTCCATGGGGTCACAAAGAGTCGGACATGACTTAATGACTAAACAACAACAACAACAACACATTACTGAAACAGCACTATCTACGTTGACTTGGGCATGTCGGAAGAATGGATGGCGGTCGGATTCCAGAAAATCTCCTATATGGAGAATGAGTGCAGGGAAAGCGCCCCAGAGGGAGACCACAGCTGCGATACAAGGAGATCTGCAAGCGGGATCTGAAGGCCTTAGGAATGGACCTCAACAGGTAGGAAACTTTGACATCTGAGCATTCGGCCTGGAGACAGGCGGTGCATCATGGCCTCTCCTAATTTGAAGAGACACTTGTACAGCATCAGTGCATCCTGGCCTCTCCAAAGCTGAACAACCCTTTGTTCAAGAGGCAGTCCCAAAACCAGTAAAATCAGGGAGCTGGATAGGGGACAGATTGCATTGGTCTTCAGTGTGGAAGGGATTGTCACTCTCGAATTGGCCTTCTCAGCCACACTAGACGCTGTTCCAAGTCCTCCATACAGATCACGTGACCCTAGTCTCTCGAGACTGAAGGATGCCTACATTAGGTGACACACTGGCCTGCTTCCTAAATGCCATCTCTGTTTGGAAAGCAACAAACCTGGAACCTGGAAGAGGAGTCTTGGGAAAATGAGTTTTTTAGGCTTCTGCTCCCGGAATTCCACAGCCAGCATTCTAGGAGAATTCTGCTGGTTGATTCCAGAAAAGTGACTGTGAGTGTCATCCCTATGAAATATTGGTTCAGCCCAAAGGGGTGGGACTAAGGAAGAGCAAAGCTGTGAGTAAGAGATCCAAATCAAGAAGAGCGGGAGAGCTGAAAAGACCAGAGCTGCTGTTGCCTCGTAGACTGCTGAAGACCTTACCAACTTGGTCTAGGTAGAATTCCTCTATGTTTGGGTGGGGCGGGTAAATCCACATGGTGCATTCACGCATATGCAACTGAATGGATATTTTATTCCAGGGTTTTGAAGACTTTGCATGTGGAGCTGATACTTCTCTGTTACAGACACCCAAACACAGCTGAGGAACACAGCCTAGATTTTTTGTCTGAATTTGAATTCAAAAGGACACTTGAATTTTGCGATTCTAGAAGCAACCTCTTTATCGGTACGGTTGCGAGGCTCAGAGTGCACAAGCTGTACCCTAAAAGTATTACAGGAGCAGCAGGATAGCATTGAAACCAGGCACTGGGGAGAAACTCCAAGGGTTAGCCAAGAAATCTGAATTACCCAGAGAGGCCGCATGGAAACCTTTCTGCTACTCACCTGGATACGGGGTCCGTCCATAGGTAATTATCTCCGTCAGAAGAACCCCGAAGGACCAGATGTCCGATTTGATGGTGAAGGAGCCGTAATTAATAGCTTCGGGTGCCGTCCACTTGATGGGGAACTTGGCCCCTGCACAAAGAGGCCGAGAGAGAAAAAACGTGAGACTCAGCAGGAAAGAAAAATGTCATATAGTCAGAGCGGGTTTATGAACTGGAAACGGGTTGCTTCCAGAAATGGACTTGACACAGTATATTGCTTCAGGACGGTATTGCATTGCTTTAATTACACAGCACCCGTGCTTGTCTCCTAAATGGATAATTAAATCTTAGCCCCCAAGAAGGAATGGCTGAGCAGGATTCTCCTTCCTGAAAGCTGGTCTTCAGCCTTCACCTTAAGTAGACAGTGATGTATGGAAGCTGAAGAATTGATGCCATAAAGAAGGCTGACCGCTGAAGAACTGATGCTTTGGAATTGTGGTGCTGGAGGAGGCCCTTGAGAGTAACCTGGACTGCAAGGAGAACAAACCTATCCACTTTGAAGGAAATCAACCCTGAGTGCTCCCTGGAAGGACAGATCCTGAAGCGGAGGCTCCAATACTTTGGCCATCTCATGAGAAGAGAAGACTCCTTGGAAAAGACCCTGATGTTGGGAAAGTGTGAAGGCAGGAGGAGAAGGGGATGACAGAGGACGCGATGGATGGACAGTGTTATCGAAGCGACCAACATGAATTTGACCCTACTCCGTGAGGCAGTGGAAGACAGGAGGGCCTGGCGTGCTCTGGTCCCTGGGGTCACGAATAGTCGGACATGACTTAACGACTAAACAACAACAACAACAAGGTCAAAAGAGCCTCGTGAGGTGGAGGTTAAACTGCAGTCCTGCAGCCAAAACTCTGCTCACAAGCTGGGTTCAATCTCAGGTAGCTGGCTTCATTCAGCCTTCCATCCTTCTGAGGTCAGTAAATGGGGTACCCAGCTTGCTGTAGCCTGCATAATTAAATTGTAAACTGCCTCAAGAGTGTTTTAACTGCTACGAGGCACTATATAAGCAGCGTGCCTTTTTTTTTTTTTTGGCCAAATGTGGAAAATGCAGAAACTTGCTTAAAATGGCAGGTTTCAGAAAGCAGTTCCTCTTCATGCAGAATTCTGATTTTTCTACACGCAAGGAAGATATATCTTTAAATGGCACTGCCAGCATCAATTTGAGCCAGTGTGGTTTAGTAGGTGGACTGTTAAACTAAGGCTCAGGAGATCTGGGTTCAAGAGACCCCTTGAGCCACAGAAACTAATGGAGGGGGGAGAGAAGAGAAATTATAGTAGTAAACACCTGCCTTGAACATCTCATATAACTCACCGTAAGTCAGAAGCAATTCAGTGGCGCCTTAGAAAAAAACAGCGTAAATTGGCAGGTGATATGTTGCCCTTCTTAAGGGATCACTAACAGCGCCATGCTATTCATCCTTACACTTTCGTACATCCCACCATAGCCAGCTGGGCTTACTCCTGAGGAAGTGCAGTCTAAATCTCTGATGTGGTCTGAAGGATGCCCATTCGGTCCTTGTGACATATATGAAACTGGAGCATGTGTGTCTATGGTCTGGACTACAACTCCCAGAATCCTCCAGCCAACATGGAGGGGGATTCTGGGAACTACAGTGCAGAAAAAGCAATATTACCAAACTCTGAATTTTTGTTCTCTTTTTTTTCTGCATTTAATCACTTGTTTGGACTCAAATTGGAATGCTTTTTTTCCTTCCTTTTCCCCATTTTATCTTTTCAATCCCCTTGTGAGGTAAGCCAGCCCAACTGTTTCACCAGCTCAAGGCCACCTAATGGCTGAAAATTCAGTAGTAAATCACAATTAGAGGAGACCCATTGAATTAGTGAGGGATCTGGTCAATCAGCTCCTCCATAAGTTGCTTCAATTCCATGGGCCTGTTCCACTTGCAACTGACGACTCTATTTCAGCCAATGAGTTTCACGAACAAGCGGGAATTTGAACCCAGGTTTCTGGAGGCTTAGCCTAACCCTCTGACCCTTACATCATTGTGACTCACTCCTTAGACCATTGTTTGTCAAGAGCTTCTAATACGCCACTAATGTCTTGTTGTTTGTTTGTTTATTTATTTATTTAACTTATATGCCGCCCACACTGCCCGAAGGTCTCTGGGCAGCTTACAACATTTAAAATACAATAAAAAGGCAAAATAAAAGGGCAAAATAATTAAAATGCAATTAAAATATTATTTCAGTTAAAAGCCTTTTGGAACAGGAAGGTTTTGAGCTGGCGCCGAAATGTCATCAGCGTTGGCGCCAGACGAATCTCAGTCGGGAGGGCGTTCCATAGTCTGGGGGGGCAGCTGCCAAAAAGGCCCTTTGTCTACAAGCTGTCCCTCTTGCCTCCTTAAGGGACGGCTCTTTCAAAAGGGCCTCCGGCTAGATCTTAACTGCCGGGTAGGCAGTCCTTCAGGTATCCAGGGCCCAAGCCGTTTAGGGCTTTATA